CACCCAAAATTATTCATGCACCTTCTCTCATGATGCAGTGATGCGACGAAAGCTGTGCTGACAAAATCTGAGACAGTACTAAATGAAAGGAATGAACCGTTTTTGGAAGGGAGGAGCAGACTGCAAAATAACCTTGAAAAACTGAAAAAGTAGCCTCAAATACAACGTGAAAAGGGTAAGTGGAAAAGATACATAGTCAGGTGCCCAAATAATGCATGGGGATAACCAGCTGTGGCCCACCTTCTGGAGAGGGCAGCCAGTTGCAATCAACTATGTGGTGACAGAAGCATGCAAATGAGAAAAATGGGACCAGAAGTAGTCTTCACACAAGACTGGAAGAAAAGCTCAGCCAGAGGTTAGAGGAGAGTCAACAAATCACTAATAGCACCAGCAGATTCTGAACAGCCCTTAAATATAGAAAAAGCATAAAAATACTCAACCTTTCAGCTAGCTCAGAGTCAGTGGGTAAGAATGGATATTTCAAACACATTTCCTCTCTGTCTACTCATTCTTGTAGGAAGAAACATTACCTCTGTGTCTGAGTTGGAGCAAAAGGTGCTCCAACATTCTTCTGCTTCTCTACAATTTCTGCTCGCTTCTAAGACCTAATTCTCTATTACATGTTTTCTCTTTCTTCTCTTTTCCTGTGTTTGCCACAGAATCCTACCTCTGTTGTTCAGCTCTCTTGCATGTTCTGCTACATCTCTGAAGTTCTCAACACACAAGAGGTTTTGTAGAGGTCTTCATTAAAGATCTATATGGTGTGGCTCAGGCACCCACGAACATGCCGTGACAATACTGTCAAAAAACCATACCACAAAACCTTTACATTTCAATTTTTCACCAGTTTTAACAAAGAGAAAGATGATAACTCTGTAATTTTTTTATACATACAACGGAAGAACACACTACACACATCTCAAAGATCAGTGATGCATTTTCAAGAAGGCTATTAAGAAGATGTGTAATCACAGATAAAAGGAAATCATTTAAATGTGAAGAAATAGTCTCCTTGTTCTTAAAAAATGTGGGAAGAACAACAAGTAAATGATTATGTTCTTGGTAAAAGTTCTGATCCTAACACTTTTAGACAAAGGCAATCTGATATACGGTGTTACCTCATGAATCACTTGGCATAGAAAGCCTTCTTTTCTTGACCAAACTTCATGGTGACTGAAGTTGCCTTCTTATGGTAGCAAGTGCTCTTCAAAAGGGTCAACATGATCATGAAATCTAAATTTTACACTGGTAGAGAAAAAGTATAGGTGGAGGCTAGAGCTGGGCTACCTATTTCACAAGAGCATGTCTTTGGCAATAATCAGAAATTACGTACGTGTAAAACTCAGTAACTGCAGAATCTCCACTCATATGAGTCTATGGAAGGGTTTGCAAGAAAGTATAACATCAGCAGGAATCCACTTCAATCCCTCCCCTTAAGCCTCACAATACAACTTATAAACAGGGAACCAGTTACAGTGGGAGATGCATAAATGTAGATGCTCCTTTGGTAAGCTACCTAAGTGTTCGATTTTCTTTTTTTTTTTTTTTTTCTCTTTTTTTTTTTTTTTTTTTTTTTTTTTTTTTTTTAACCAAGGAAAGAGTTACTTCACATGGAATTCTTTGGTAAAACAAGAAAGTGAGAAGATGTCAGCAATCAAACTACTCAAAAATGACAATAAATGTCACAATTCTGCATCTAATTCTGCTCATAGATTTTATCAGCCTTTTCCATATGACATCAAGTCCAGTTTTCTTTCTACATATGTCCACACTGACTACTCTTACCTGCCCTGAAAGTTTACTACTTAGTATCTTCAATACATAGTACTTGCAGACTAGCACAAGCATTTGTTCATCAAGTGCATTTGTGTACAGTAGCCGCATATCAGTGCTTGTGTTTTCAATTGCAAAACCTTCTATAGTCTCATTAATTCCCTTCTACTGTGATAAAGCCTTGACTTTTTTCAGAGAAAAACTTTACTATACTGATAAAGATGTGCTCATTCAGTACATATATATGAATTCTATTTAAATTTTAGATATTTCTGGATGCTACTGTTTGGTTTTATTTAACAAAGTGTGAAGACACACCAATGCCAGAAAACTTAACGATTCTCATCTCATAATACCTTTTTTACAGGTTCTATTTTTCCCTACATTTTCATCTCTGCAGAAAACACCATAATCTGTTGAGGCACTTCCATCTTTTATTTCAGTGCATAGAAAATGTGATTCAAACATACTGACTAGCTGTAGACTTATAGTCAGTTTCCTCAGTTCAAAAACTATACCTATTGCAGCTGCAATCTAAAGGGCAACTGCTGCTCTACACTCTGTGCTAAGACACTGACCAGAAAACAGCCTTTGGTCTTCCTGTGTTTTGAGGGATCTCTACAGACTGTGACTCCCTCTCCATCTTAACGAGACCTTGAATTCTTTTAATCAGAACTGGGGAACATACTGATATTTTCACACAGTTAAGTCACTTTGTATGGAACGTATCTCAGTTACCTTTCTGTTTCCCTCTGCATGACCAATGGCTGGCCATGGGTCTCAGCCAGGTCAGTAGCCCTATCCCAGAAACGTTGCCATAAATATCATCTTTTGCTGTTTTCAAGATGTTTGAAGTACACATGGATTAATCAGGAAAACGGAGATTGGAAAATCCCTGCACATTTATTTTTATCTTCTATTTTATGATGTCCTATAATGTAATTCAGTAACTTTGGCTAAACAGTAGAGTGAGAAGGAGAGTTAAAAATGGGGAATTTCTATTCTTATGCATACTGAATATTTCTTTATCCCTTGCAGTGTCAACAAAAACAATGGCATGCCATTCAGATGAAGCTGTTTCTTTTGAATAACAGATGCTATGGGAAGATGTAAGAAATAACATACAGGAAAAAATGGCTGATGTGAGGACAATTAGTTATAAAAAAGTCCCAACAAAACAACAAGGATTAAGATTAATACATCCAAGCAAATTGTTTAGCCAAACTGCTATGAGGAAAAGAATTCCCCCACATCATCCACACACCATCTGAGTGTTTCAGCTTCTTTCTCATGTAACATTTAATTCTTCAATTCATTGTTTTGGAATTTCTGATGAGAAACATTTATAAAAGGCTTGTCTAGTAAAAAATCTCAGTCTTTGACTGACACCTGTCTTGAGTCTTGTGCTTTGAACGTAAGAATGACATACATTCAAGGGGACACTGAGATAGGGATTCTGCCTGGAGGCATATCCAGTGTAGTCAAAAATATTTAAATCCAAAAAAGGCTTGTACAAGCTCTGCTAATGGGCTCATTTAGGAAGTGCCTCATTCAGGACATTTCCCAAGGCGCTGCATGGAATTCCAGCTACTTAGATCAGAAGGTACGCTATCATCTAAAGTCAGGTGGCACAACATGTCGCTTAAAAAATGCATTTAAGTACAGATTTTTTCCTGTGCTACATTGCTGGGAGATTAAATAAGGAGTAGGTTCCCTGGTAGTTTTGTGGGTTTGGGTTTGGCATGCAGATCTCTACGTCAGTGACCAGCAGGACTTGGGAAGTTACCATCCCCTAAACTCAGCTCAAGATGAGGCTGCACCTTGGCTACTGCTTTCAGGTTTGGACCCCTCACTACAAAGAAGACACTGAAGCTCTGAAATGTGTCCAGAAAAGGGCAACCGAGTTGTGAAAGCTCTGGAGCACAAATCTTATGGGGAGCAGCTGAGGAAGTTGGGATTGTTCAGTCTGGAGAAGAGAAGGCTCAGGGGAAACCATATCACTCTCTACAGCTGCCTGAAAAGAGGTTGTGATAAGGTGGGAGTTCGCCTCTATTTTCTCAGATGTGGGAAGGCACTGGCACAGGCTGCTCAGTGGAGTGGTGGAGGTCACTGTTCCTGGAAGTGTTCAAGTAACGTGTAGATGTGCCTCATAAGGATGTGGTTTAGTGGGCATGGTGGTGATGGGTTGATTGTTAGACTTGATTATCTTAGTGGCTTTTCCAACCTTAATGATTCTATGATTGATTCTATGACCACAGAGGCAGAGTGGGCTGGAAGATTTTTGTGGTCTATTCAAAACTGATAAAGGAGAAATAACGCAAGTGTAACTACAGAGAACTGTTACAGCGATGTGCCTTTTGGGATGCTAGCCAAACCACATTTATACACATTATTCTGTATGATTTTTTGAATTTATAATTAAATTTATGGAATAACTTAATCCTGGAAAACTTTTAGGCTAAAATAGAATAGTGCTTGTTTGCAGGGCATTAAACATAACACTTAAAATCAAAAATTCCTCACATAAATCCAAGAAGGAACTGAAGATTACTCTGCATTTTTCTATGATAGCTTTTTTCATAGATTTTTACAGATTCAGAAACATATTTCTACTAATTTAAAGCCTTAATTACCTTTCCCTTTGTTTTGGTTTTGGAAAACTTAGCAATTGATATGATTTTGCTCAGAAACACTATCTCTTTAAATAGGAATATCTTGCAGTTAGTGGCAATAGCTCATAAATTATATCTTGCCAGAAATACCATGCACACTTCTGAAAGACAGAATATTAATGTCTCTCCACACGTGTCTAGAAATTAAATAGCATTTGTGAGATGAAAGAAGTTTTTAATAAGTAGTATGAAGAGCCTATAATTTAGGACATATTATAATATAACACGAAAAGAGACATCTAAAGTGCTTTACTAACCATGAAGCAGAAATACTGATGTTTTGAAGAAGGCAAACATATACAGTCATTTGTTCAGTATATTACGTGTTCTGTTACTAGCAATTACTCTGCCACATAGTTATTTCAGACTTGCATATTGGTTTACGTGCTGGTACGGAACTGATGCAGGATAGATTATAATTTACAGAAATGCACTCTCATCACACACACATTAGAATGAATGAATCATAGAATGGTTTGGGTTGGAAGGGACTCCTCTGTCCTCTCTTTTTCAGGGATAAGGCACTTTGTTACTGTCATTAGAAACAAAACTCACCTTAGCTCAAATGCCCCAACTTTTAGTATAGTGCGATGATGAGCGCCAGTGAGCTGACTAGGATATGTCTCCCCAGAAGCTGAATGTTTTTTCCTCCTGAGTTACATCCTCTGGCTGCCACACTGGAACTGGGAGGAGATAAAGTTGTCCATGTTTATCAGTTATATATATCCACTCTTCCACCTAGGGGAAGAAAACAATAGTACTTTCAATCTCCTATGCAGTAATTCATAAGACTGATAACGGAGAGTGCAGTAGTTCAGCTCTGCAGAATAAAATCAAGCACACCAGGAGGAGACACCATTCAAACTGCAGATACTTTCCTCTGCACCAACATGTACATTTGGTTATAAAGACTCTAAAAATTTTGGAATTCAGTTGATGAAAATCATTGTGATTATCGAAGTATAACATCTTATCAGCTCATATTTCTGGTCAGAAGGGTTCAACTTCCAGACTGGCTTTTGAAAAAAGTCTGTATGAGACAGTGTATAAGAAAAGAATGGCGCAGTCACATCTTTAAGCATTTGGAAATATAGCAATGAAAGCTGGGAATGAGATGAGTCAGCTGGGAACTTTCCAGGTTCCAGGAAGGAAGTTCTTCCACAAAAGCTGCCATTTTTTTTCAAGACACACAGACCTCATTGCTGGGAAGAGTCTTCCTTTCTTCCTAAATCTTATTTGCTCCTGTAGCCATACTTTGGACTCCATTTTTTCTCCTCTAGTTACATAACTAGCACCAATTTCAAACAAATTCATTTCATGAAATTACAGGCAAACACTCACGAGTAGAACTAAACAAAACCTGCACTTTTTTTCACCTCTGGTGAAGCCACACCAAAAGTTTGGGTGATACTGCTTCAAATCAGGAAGGTCATGTTTGAATTTTCAGTTATTCCATTTTACTTTCAACATGATACTCATACATCTGTTTTGACTTCACACTTTACCTGATGTAAGTTATTCACATTCTTTGTCACTGTGTTTATAACAGTAAATTACAATTTAATAGCTCTTTGGTAAGAGTAATGACCAATATTTTGTCAAATTGCATACGTCCACTGTGAAGGAAACTTGCATAATAAATGAATAATAGTAAATGAAACTTGCATAAATTAGAAGTGGATATTTTGCTCCTGAGAGAGTATAAGAATTATATATGTTAAAAATGAACACCTTGATACAGATATTAGCAGTTAGACGGCTATAAAACATCCCTTGTGTATTTAGGAAGCACATTTTTGTGCTATCTCCAGCCTGTGAAGCCCCAAATTTTTCAGACTGTCTTTGTAGGAAACGTGCGCTTTGGATCATTTCTGTGGCCCTTTTCTGGACACACTCCAACAGGTCCACATCTCTCTTGTACTGAGGAATCCACACCTGATGAATTAATAGGTAAGTTCCTTTGGTTTAAATATTCATCTAGGCTGCTGCTTTTCCTGCAATGCTGTCTTCTTTTTGTTTGCATTATTGCACTTTGCCACAGCAAGAATTCCAGTTGTGTTTTTACTTTTATTTTCTCTTTCTAATGTCGCATAGTTTTCCAACAGCTGCCAGTGGAGGCAAAGTTCACTTCCCAAGCCTGCACATCAATTTATAAAATTATATTAACCCTCCCTAGTGAGACAGTCTACAAGGACCACGGTACAGTGATCACACCCACACACTATCATGTCAGTGTCCCTAGAAACACATATTCGTGAGTTCTGCTTTTGTGGCTTGGGTAACATTATTCTAAGTTGTTGTTGCTTTTTCAGGGCTAATGACTCTGGCTCAGTTCCTGTACAAGAGTTAATTAGTGTGGCTGCATTTTTTTTTGTGCCTTCCTTGAAGAAAGAATGCTGGGCCCAAGTGTTGGACCACAGGTATAATATGCACTTGCACTGAGAAGTGACAAGCTGCTTCACGTAATGATTTTGCCATGCAGCCATCTAGAACCATGAGAAACAATTGTAGTCCCAGCTTCTTTATTTTATGATGGCTGCTAAAGATATAGAAATCTCATTTAAAGCCTTTAATATATTTTCTGAATTTGGCTGCAATAAAATATTCTAACACAAGAAATTAATTGGTATTTTTATGAATAAATGGCTTTATAAACAGCGCTCCTGGAAGAAAACAAACAAACAAACAAAAAAAAAAACAAAAAAAAACCCCCACACTATTTCACTGAGAAACAGAAAGGAAACACCTAACCCTAGAAGCTCATAGGAAAATTGCTAGGTCCATTGCTAAAACCTTCTCATTTAACAGCAGAGTATTATTATCACCTCACAGTGTGGCATACACAGAATAATAACCAGAACCCAGAGCGATGCGGAAGAGGACTGCATGGATAGAAAGTACTACTTTCACTCTTGCCTATGGAGTATGTGACCTCTACGTATTTAAGTGATGATGCCTGGAAACCTTAGAGAACTCCCATGGCTACCAGGTCTTATCAGGACCATAATACAAGTTTAACTCACTGTAAAAAAGGCTTTTCAACATGAGGTGATTATGCAGGACTGCAGGATTACAGCTACTGTGCCCTTGGTTATGATAGGTGCTAAACCCACACTCACCCTAATGACAAAAATCCACAATTTTCTAGCTCAGTGCAATTCATAGAATACTTTTCCAGCAACTTTAGAAGGCTATTGTTCTGATGTCACTTGTGCCAAATATACCTCCCTGCCCTGTGATCCCACGGCATGCTAGATGCTGTTCCCTTTCAGTTCTTTTCTGTCAGCCCTCTTCCACGGCCATGCTCTTCTTTATTGGTGTTGCCTCAAAAACCAATTTCTCTTTCTCCTGCAGTGTCTGCTTCAAGAAAAGGAGGAATTACAGCAAAAAGCTACAGCTTTCAAATTAAGAAAGTCATTGGAGCTTCTGTCTGAGGGAATACACTTAAGCTACAAAGAAGCAGAGGACTGTACAAGGGCACAAGCTACGTGCTTCCCACCCTTCAAGGAATAAGAAATAGCATACGTAACTGTTGCTACTTGAGACAGTAAGCAGCTGCTGTTCATACTTGCCTGCCTTCTAAATTTGAGACCTATTTGCCTCCCCCTGTTGTTGTTCTTGTTTTTTCCCCCAGTTTGAGTATTGCTCACAAATCGAGTTGTGAAATCTGCTCCCTGTGGTGAGAATAATTTCCACTTTGTATTATGCATAAACACAGTCCTAAATTATTATGTAACTGAAAGTAAAACAGAATGGAGCAGGGGGTGGAGCACTGAGCGCTGTCACCAGTGCAAACAATCCTTGTTTCGGTATCAACTTGCTACATAGATTTCCGAGGCTTGTAAGTATTTTACAAACTTCAACATACTTTTGCTTTCTTCAAAATGTCTTTCTTGTATTAAAAGGATGAGGGAATTCATACTGCTTAGCTTCAATTATTATTACTTTTTTTTAGTTGCCTTTTAAGACTTCTAAATGAAAGAGACATACTTCAAGTATATATAACCACCAACCTGGTGCCTCTTTCACATTTCTCCTGTAGGAGAGGCATTAGAAAGTATGGAAAATTGGTGCTAGTCAGTGAAAATTTGTCATTTATTAACAAACTCACAAAGCGAAGATAAGGAGGAAAAAAAAAAGACACCTCTGTGAGACCAGTGAACATAACAAGAAGAGAAATGAAAGATTGGGAGAATAAATATTTACCAACCTCATGCATGCTCTTGAAAGAACATTAAATGTATGTACAGAACTGAAAACTGCAGTCAAGCGGAATCCTACTGAAAATGGTGTTACGGAGATAGAGTAGCTGATAACAGTGTACTAGGAAAGTATTATCTGGTTAGCAAGCCAACTAAACAATTGCATTCATGAATTTGCTGTCCAAATAACACTTTCTGAATAATGAAATCCAAAGAAAGGAGAAAAAGGACACAAAGGGGAGGAACTTGTGAAGGACTGTATTTTTAAGACTTGCAAAATAACCTCTGTAAAAGCCAGAAATTCTCCCAACTGAGTATGTACACAGCATTTATGATTTCCTCTTTATACAGCAGGTATATATGTGCTGCTTTCCTTTAAAACAGTGTGATATTGCAGGAGAAATTCCTGATTATCATTATTTCATTATGTTTTGCTGTACTTTCCAGATAGACAACAGCACAGAAGTTCCTTTGCCATTATAAATGTGTTCATTTCCACATACAGATGCTAATTTATTTGAAATGAGACAGACAAATGGAAAGATACCACTCAGTTATTTTCTCTTGGAATGATATATATATATAAACATAGATCGACGTAGTATAAACAAATGAAAGTATAGAATTCCTTCCTTTGGAGCCTATTGGACTGTTCTGAACTCCAAGAATATAAGCAACTTTATAGCCTGTCATCGTTACTTTAGCTTTGCAGATTCAAACAATAAAGGTCACCAACATAATCTATCCTACTGCCTTTAAATTTGTTTGAATTCCCTGGGGAAAAAAATACTATTGGCAATTCAATTCTAAGGCATCTCAGACTTTGAAAACTGAAAAGGATTGCAGAGAACAGAGATAAAGGCTGATGTGGAGTTATTGGGTAATAGGAATAATATGCTAGATTTTTTAAGAAGAATTAAACGTCCCATCTCTCTTCAGCTTGCTGTTACGTGCCTTTGCATGAACATCTTCCAGGCTGTGGCCAGTAATATATTTCATACAAACTTTCTACTGTCAGGTGCTGACAGTTCTCACAATTACTTTTCTCTGTGCTCAGAGTTCAGCTTTATGCAGCCAGCACATGAAGGTGCAGAAATATGTGGGAACTGTTCTCCTGTATTCTGTCAAAAATGATGTAAAATAGATCATTTCTGCAGGGAGAGGCTAGCACAGGGTATCACTTTCAGGAAACAGGACAGAGCTTTCAGGAACCAGTAAAGGAGAGCAGCCCAACCTCAACTGATGGAATAAAATTGTTAGTCTGCACATAAGTACATTTTTAATCAGTATTATTTTTCTACATGATATGGTCTTCTTGTTTCATCCTCTCATTCATCATTACAACACCACCAGCTAAAAAAGCTAAACCCAGGGACAGTAAATACCCTTTGCAATCATGTTTTTCTGTACGCCTTTCAACCCGTAATGAAGGATAGTATTTTTGAAGATTATTTAAATTACATCATATAATGCACTAAGAATTCTCAAAATATGCTGCCAGCTTTCTAAAGTCAATGTGTAGTGTTTTAGGCATAACAAAAACAACTCAATCATATCCGTTCACTGTGTGTACATACTAAAATATTTCTGCTTTTCGAATGTGTCATTTATTTACTTTCTTTTCAGAGGGCAAAATTTGCAGAGACTTCACAGATGAACGCAAAAAGGGTGCAGAGCAATTGCTTTTACTCTAACACTTTAGCTCTAAGCAGTTGCATGTCTTAGTTTGCCACAGAATCCCCAAATAGTGTATTTTAGTATATGGTAACTATTTTTTGGTTGCTGTCTTAATAAAAACAATGTTTTACCTATGAGATCTTTTAGGACAAATCAGAATTTTTTTTTTTTTGGAGATGCTGAATTCTGAGTCTCCTACTCCTGATGAGGCAAATCTGGCTATTTTATGACGTTATTACCTATAAAGATACCATGCATTAACAAAATTGTTCAATATTACTGTCATAGATGAATCATTACTAGAGATGATCTTTTCAGCACAGGCCATCATGACATGGTAAAACACACTGCTTGAAAATGGAAATCCAAGCTGTTATTACAAGTCTATAAATACTTCTTGGCTCTCAATGTGAAGTTGTAGTGAGTTGTACACAACTGAGGTAGCAGGCAAAAAAGTCTCTAGTTGGGATGGCAAGCTGCCTTTTGTGTTTGTCACTCACTAGCCTGACTTTAAAATTGCAGAGGTGCCTTTCCCTGAGTTTCTGAAGCTTGAAAATTGCTCAGAAATGAAGAGGACAAGTCCCTATTATTTGTTACTTGTTATCTGCTATTTATCAGTCTGAGAAATGTATATGAAGCACTTATTTATATGTAACTTATTTTTCTACAAGGAGTTTCCAAATCTTCATTTTTTATTTTCACACAGCCCAGATTTCCAGTTTCTATTCTACAGATTTTGCTAGGACAGCAGATGACTCTGGGAATAAATGCTGACATTTTCAAACTAGTTGATGCACTTCTCTCTGCAAGGACCAAACTCAAGTAGAAAGAACTTCTAACAGATCATGGGAAAACTTGCTCAAAGGTGCCTTTTATGCAGAAGTTCAAAGAGATGAAATTATATAGCAAGTCCCCAGTACCTAAATGCACAGATTATCTTTTCATAGAAAAAGGGGCCTCCAATTCTATGCAATTGATCCCAGAACAAACTTATTTTTTCACTGTTTACTTGCTGAACAATGAACCTTAGTTGTTGATTCAACAACTAAGTTGTTGATTTCAAAGATTTCTGAGCAGTGAAGTACCTTCTGCTCTTCTTCAGCCAGTGCTGTTACAAAAGCTGGTGCTAAGATCCCATGCTCAGAATGAACCTGAAAGAAGAAACATTGCAAAAAGATGTAATTGTCATCTAAGCTGTCTGTACTATCTCGGTGTAAGCAGAGATCTCACATGGCCAGCATCACCTTTAAGAATTTTGCAATTCTTTCTGAGAGGTCTGGGCTGGGACTTCTTCACATTCTTTAGCTCCATCAGGATTCATGGGTAAGATAAGGCTAGTTAAGGCTAGTTATTCAAGAAAATTATTCTTCTCCTCTTTTTTTTTTTCATTTTTTTTTCTTCTTTTTTTTGTGTGTGTGTGAAAAAACAAGGGAAGAGCAGAAGTATTTGGAAGTCATTTATTTGCCAGCAGGAGATTTAGTATATAATTAAACTGTTGTCCTTGCTGGTAGGTTATTATCAGCAGGTAACAAACCATCTTACAGTATTTCATGCTATAATAGATGAGATAGGTCTTTAATGGTAGCAAAGGGTGATCACTCAGAAACTGTTGTAACTATAGCCGCTATGAATTGCAACCTATAGTTTAATAGTTCAACAATTAACTCTGCCACTAATGCTCAGAAACTCTTTAAAAAAACACCTCTGATTATCCCCCCGGCCCCCCTGTGGAACTGTTCTAGAAAGCCTGCTTTAAGAAAATACCTTTAGACTATAAGGTTAGACTCTATGACAGATAAAAATCTTATATCAAAGTTGCTAGACCAATACAGCCATGACTAGAATTTGTTGCATCTTTAGAGCACCTCTTTAAATTAAAAAAAAGCCCTTTCGGGAATAAAAATTCAAATGAAACAGGTTTATTGGATGCAAATTGTTTTTGAGTAGAAAGATTACTGTATGGTGAATAGTTAGCCAAAATGTCAATTCCTGCACCTTTCTCTGGCTGTAATACCTGCCAGAAAGCTGTGAGCATGTGAGCGTGAAGTGCTCAGTAATTTTCTTCCCTACAGTTGAAAAAACAGCTCAGGATGGTGTGGAGAAGTTTGTTGTCTATGCCAAGGCAACGACTTGAGGTTATTTGTAATGTCAGATTCTTGTCTCCCACAAGAACCATATGCGCAGATACAAAATATGACAATGCTATTTTTGATATAACGATCTTGCTAACAAATGATCCTGTAGAAGATTCATTTTGTGTACAGGAATAATAACACTGACACAATTTCACTCAACTCTTAATATGCTGTTAACTACTATTAGCATATTATCAATTTTGTACTCAACAATGATGGAAAATTGGGCACAAACTCAGCTGCCTTTCTTGATGCCACATTGGCTAGTTAAGAATTACAGCACCTACACCAATAGTGCCTGCTTGTGCCTCTAGCAAGTGACTAAGTGTCGCTGTCTTCCTAGAAGGGGAAATAAGAACAGGATCAGGGGAAGGTATTGCAGGAACATGGAAATCTATGCTCTTGACATCCTGAAAGCTGCAGCTGGTTACTGCCGTCAGACTCCTTGCAAGAGAAATAGGTATCTGCATCCCTCACATGGCACACGCAGGACAGCCATGTTGTCAGAAGTAGCCAGTCTTTGAAAGTCAGGTCATGCCTGATTGAACTTATCTCCTATGACAAGATTACTTGCTTAGTAGATAAGGCAAAGGCTATGGATGTTTTCTATCTGTTTTTTAGTTAAATGACATGTGAGCAAGCAGCGTGCCCAGGTGGCCAATAAAGCCAATGACACCTGACCTGCATCAGAAATATAGTGGCTAGCAGGATTGGGAAAATAATTTTTCCCTTGCACATGCAACAACTGAGACCTTACACTGCATTCATTTTTGGTCCCCTCACTGCGAGAAGGACGTTGAATTCCTTGAGAGTGCGCAAAGAAGAGCAAAAAACTGGTGAAGGGACTAGAAAACAAAACTTACAAGGAATGGCTGAGGAAACTGAGGTTGTTTGGTCTAGAGAAGAGACTGAGAGGAGATCTCATTGGTCTCCACAGCTGCATCAAGGAGGGCGCCAGTCTCTTTTCTCAGGTGATGAGTGAGAGCACACAAGGAAATGGTCACAAGTTGTGCTTGTTTAGATATTTAGATTGGACATTAAGAATTTCTTTACAGAGAAGGTGCACAAGCATTGAAATGGGCTTCCCAGTGAATGGTGGAGTCTCCCATCCCAGGAAGTAAGTGTGGACTAATGGCACTAATACACAAGGTTTAGTGATGGGACTCAATAGGTTAAGGTGATGATTGGACTTGATCTTGGAGGTCTTTTCTAACTCAGATGATTAAGTGATTCTATGAATGATGTATTCCCAGCTTGAATGTTACATTAGATCTTCTAAAAGTATTTTAAAAGAACAGGCACCTGCATACCAGTTTAAACTGGGTGCATGTAACATGCTTTTAAGGATGTGGGAATGGGAGTAACAATAATCTGCAGGCTTATATACTGTAGCCTGCAGTGGAAAACAGAAAGTATGGTTTGTTTCCTGGCTTAGTGTAGTTTGGTAAGGCTGAAGTTGCTAGGTAGAGTTTTAATTTATGCTGACTCTTGGAAGGGTCATTGGATCAAATAGTGTTTCACATTTCTAGAGCAGAATAAATTCTGATACAACAGTTAAAATTAGCTGTACTTAGGACTGCTATGTGCAGCACAGATTACCAATATACAGCAGAGGGGATGAAAAAGAAGGTGGCATTGAGGGTCCACTGGGGGTTGCACTGGTCCCTCTTTTCAAGAGAGGCTGAGGATTCTGCAAGTTGACTCGATGTTGCGATTGCCAACACCAGACAATGGTGATGGCAAAAGCCAAATGGATTGGTCTTAACATGTTGCCTGACTGCTTACAGCTTTCTAGCGTTAATTTTATTTAATTTTACATCATTTTCATTTAATTGTAAAGAAGTCTACAGCCTAAGTATCCACTGTATTTTATAATACAGTAATTAGTTACATGGGCACAAGAAATGACATTGTACTCTAATATATGAATATATATATATATATATATATAAAAATACAATAGAAAAATTAGATAATCTTCTTTTGCACATCCCCATATCTGATCTGCTGCACATTCCTTGCAATGTGTTGTAAGTGTAGAATAATTAATTTTATCTTTTATTTTTTTGCCTTCCATTTATAGCACTCAGCAGTACAGTATCAAATTGCTTCTTGAACATGAATTAGTTCATTTTCTCAAAAGCCCTGAAGGATAATGAAATGGGAATTTTATTTTATAAATGAAAAAAGATCTGAAGAATTTAATGATTTGGGGTCTGGTATGTGATACTTCGAGATGAATTTTTTTAAGAGACTGTTAAGCATTCCTGAGGATTGTCTATGCCCGTATATAGCTCCCAGTGTGTTCTGTTGCTGCTGTGATAACTCAATTATTTTTTGAATTAAGATCTGTAGAGAGCACTTATTTCTCCAAACCGTAACTACCTGCACTGGAGAAACCTCCATCTGAGCTGACTGTAGGGACTAGAAACGTATGCTTGGGGAGCATGAGGCAAGTTATCCTAAAGGCGGACACGCAAAAAAATCTGGGTTAAGTCACTTACTCAAGTCACATGGAGGTGGTAAGATGAAGTCAAGGTTGAGATTGTTTCTCAGAGCTGCTAAACTCAACTGCTCTTGTCACTGAACTTACATTTTTCTTTCTGTTATCTTCCGCTTCCTTTTGCGTCCTTCCTTTTTTTCAGATGAAGACATTGATACAGTCTCTTTCACAAGATTGGCCTATTCAGCATACATAATCCATTCTGGTCAGGAATCCTGTGTGAGAAAAAGGAAATTATTACACCATACTATTATTAAAAATTCGGTAATTTTTTCAAGTTATGAATTGACAGGAAGGTAAGGAGAGTAGGGTTCAGTTTCTATTTCTGGAGAAGAATATACTTCAGCGATCATAAAATCCTCCCACTTCTCTTACAACAAAGGTTTTCTTCTTCCTTTCACCTCCACTCTCTCTTATGTATGCCCTTCATTCAGCCACATTACTCAAATTCCTCTCTTGTATTGCAAACAGCACCACTGATTTCTGTTCCCTGGCTTTTACCACATCGTTCCTGCTGGAAGCCTTTTTTTGATACCTTAAGTTCTGCTTGCTTCTGAAGATCTGAGATGGAGTATGTTCATTATGAAGAGACTGCTGGAGACCAAAAAATCATTGCCAAGAAATCTCTTCTGTAATTACATGAACTAGCCACTTCTGACTTTGTAAACTTTGTGCAGATTTTTTAGGCTGCCAAATTGAATACATTACTAAAAAGCAGGTTTTAATTAAATGGTTATAAACATTTTCTCTAGTTCTTCTATTTGCTCATTTGTTTTTGGAAATGACTGAATTATGTTTGATAAGACTTTCAGTATGGGAAATTTCAGATCTAACAATTTCATTTTAAGCTGAAAGTGACTAAAACAGTTTCATTGTCAGAAACATAGCTACAGAAGGCCTTAACAAAACTGTAGGTAATAGCACCCACATGAATAGAAATTGGACTGTTTCTCCAGTCTACACATTTGAAATTATCAGAGTTTAATTTAATTTCCTAAGAAAAAAATGTTTATCCAATCACACATCTGTGCATGATTTCATATCTTTGCTCCCCTCCTCTACCACATTATTTTTTAATTGAACACCTAATTTCATTGAAGAATTTATATTGGAAGAGGTATCTAAAGAACAGCTCTCCCAACTTCTCAACTAAAGCAGGGATAACACTAGTGTAGATTGCCCCAGGTTTGGCTAGTTTTTGAACATTTCTAAGGATGGAGCTTCCACAACTTCTCTAAGAAGCCTCCTTTGTTGTATACCTGCCCTCACTGTGATTTTTTTCCCTCATATCCAGCATTTTCTCCAGTTCTTTTACTGTACATACAACAGTTTATCTCTCTCTTCTCTATAACCATATGGTGGAAAAAAGAACCAAAAAAGGATCTTCTTTGCCTTCTCTTCTCCATGTTGCACAAGCCAAAGTCCCATAGCCTGTGTGTTCAGTCTCCAAACAATTTAGGACCAGACTTTCCAGTTTTGCATCTCTCTTGTATGGTGGGGCTAAAACCATACCTAGTACTTCAGATGCAGCCTGTATCATGTGGAGCATCACTTCAGAAACATAATGGATTTTCTGAGCCATTCGTCTTGACTTTCCATCAGGTGCTGGGTAGCTTAATCCAGCCTGCAAATGGGAGACATTTTCCATTTGTTTGAAGACAGCTTCATTCATTTCTATGATCAAGCATCCTTCAGCAGACCCTCACTGTCATGTCCTCATGTTGATTCCTCCTTTCATCAGACCTCACAATCCCTGTACACCACAGTTTCTTGCACTACATCTATGCACCCTCTAGTCTTCTCTGCTCATCTTTCCTTGCAAGCGTGTATCGAGCAATTGCAGCACAAGGTGATGTGATGTCCCACCTTATCTCCTTAATGCTAGCTAGGCCATTGTCCTGTGTATATGTTAACTGACAATTACTCCCACTTTTTTCACAAGGTGGCATGCATAACTACAGAGGTACTTCAGGTGGACTCTCAACTGCTCTGTTTAAACAAGTGCAGCTTAAGAGCCTTTCTCATCAGCCTGTTCCATAAATTCCCAGCCTGGAGAAGCTTAAATCAGGCCTAAATCTAAGAAACCAAGTCCATTTATGAGACAAATTAAAACCAGACATTGTAAGTTCACAGGCCACCTGTACAATATGAAAAACAGTAAATAAATTAGTAGCTTTGGAGATCTATTTTCTTGCAAATTATGTTGCACTGCTTTTATAAAAAATACAAATATTAATATTCAGATAAATTGCACTACCAAAGTGTGTTCATATTTTTCTGCTGTATGTCTTCAAAGTCTTGCTGTGAATACAAAATTCACTGCTCTAACAAAAGAAATTTCTTGTTTCTCCAACCCCAGCACCTGCAAGTCTTCAAAATGAATGTAGAAAAAACGTAATAGAGGAGAAGGAAAATGTGCTACTAAGTTTTTATCATTTCATCCATAAAGAGATAATAAAAAGGAGAATGAGCTGTTTAGCTTCCATAACACCTTCTATGAAAACACTGCTTAAAAGAAGTGGCACACTGGATTGCTGCTGCCCTGACCTTGATTCTGTGTGGTTTGCCTCATTTATTCTTTTCTAATTTACCTTGTAAAGAAGAGGAGAACGCAAGTAAAATTGCATAGCTGGGCTGACACATAAAAAGCAACTATTAAAAACACGTGTCATGCTCTGTTGATGTAATTAGGGGAACTCTTCTAGCCCTTTACAAACCACAGAATTATGCTGATGTTAATGACTTTCCTATTAGCTAACTTAGCTACAACTTCTGTTCTAATTTTCATCAGAAGTCATAAAAAAATTATTTGATGATAATACATCTATTCCAGACTGACTCTCCTCTCTTACATTGCAGTGTTCAGAGATACAGTCTAAGATGGGTATCTGGTCTCTAGATAAAAGTAATCCTTTTGAAAAGACTTACCTGGTGTTTCTATGAAAATCCCTTTAAAATTTCAGCTGGTTGGTTGGAATGCTCTTGACAGATCACCTGAGAGCCACTTCGAGGTTTATTGCAGCATTAAATATATATATTTTTTCCATTTCTAGGTACTACAATGTACTTGCCTGATCCAGCTTCTGTTCTTCTGTACTGAGCGATGTTGCAGTGAGCAAGACACTGGGGATGGCGCAGCCAACACAAAACTCTGCTGGAGCATGGAGAAGGCTGGAGAGTCAGGTAAGTGTCATTTAAGCAATCTGACATTTTAGAAGTGTCTGCAAAGCTCTTACTGTTTCTCATGTAGCTTAACAGGAAAAACTGTTAATGCAGCGAATTTCAAGCTTGGAAATATTTCCAGTATTTTAGATAAGATTGCTAGCACTCTATTATTTTCTGTTATCTTCTTTTCACGCTGTTTTCTACTTTTTCCAGCCTTTGGTCTGGATTTTTACAGATCCCTTTTTTTTTTTTTTTTTTTTTTTAATTTTTATTTATTTCCCTACAGTGAAATTCTAGCTGACCTCCTGCAACTTGTGAGGCTGTAACTCCTGACACACAAGTGTATTCAGTATAGGAGGATAATTGCAAGTGTTCAGATTTTTGAGCACTCTTCAGACTTTCTCAAAACACTTTCTGGATGATTCAGTGTCAGTTGCATTTCTAATAAGCAGCATGATCTGGTGGCCTCCTAATAATCCACATGGTTCCAGATGGAACTCAGTATCCCCAAGGTTTGCACACAACTCTCTACAGAGAGGTTTGGATGCCTTTGTACACACTCACCTGGCCATGCCCTGCCAACTCTGTCAACCCCATCTGAGAGCTGGACTGCTAGGTGGCCCAAATATACCAGCCTTCTCTACACACTGGAGGTTACCATGAAAAAAATAATAAAAAAAGGAGTGCTCCATCTGTGGGCACTCAGTTGTGCACAGGCTTGAGCAGGTATCTGAGGCAGTCAACAGGCATAGCCCTATCTGACCCCATCATTCCTAACACTGTGCTGAAATGCGGATAAACACATCCCTACATAAAGCCAATCTGACCAAATATGCAGGCTGTGGGGAATTGTTGGAATGGTCTTCCTGCTAATTATAGCAGTGAAGTTAGGACAGGGTGATTCCTTTTACGAAGATTTTTGATTATTTTGCTGCTTATCTCTTCAAAAGCACCTAGATAAAACTCTTCCGTTCTAAATGTGTAACTGCCCTTAAACTACACCTCACCTTTTCCAGAAGTCAAAGAAGTTTGCAGAAGTCAAGTCAACACAAAAACGGTGTTCATCATCGATTACCCCGTAGATTCATATGACTTTATTCCAAGTCTCAGAGTGATTACATCACAGACTTAGCCCCTAGCAGAAACAGGAAGAATATAGCCCTCATGATTATGGGGAAAAATTTGGAAATCAACCCTCACCACTTGAGCTCAACAGGGATGGAGAGGATTAGAGCAGATAATCAGTTTATAGGTCAGGTGAAAGATACAACATAGCTAATTCATTACATAAAATCAATTAACTCACTTACGGAAACTAAATATACCAGCCCTGATCTCATTATTTTTTTTCTATTCTTTTCTGTGACATATGTTGCAATATGTGTTCCTTATTCAGTTGAGTCTATTTACCTACTGAAGAACTCAGAGCATGCAACTCTTGACTTCTGCTGTTCAGGATAAACAGTTCCGTGAAGTGAACGTGAACACCATTGAGAAAGCAGACTTTTCAGTTTCCACCACTACCTCCACTTTCACTCTCCATCCTCAGTATACAAAGCACCAACTTTTGTTAACACAATCAACTTTAGGTCTTTAACTAGAAAACAACTGTAATGCTTTTTTATTTAGCTAATTCGTGCTCATAGTTTAACAACATTTCATATGTAGCATTTTGTTATATCACTGTAATTATTTAGCTATTTCCTCTACTACAAGACTACCAAGGTTGGCAAGGAGAGGAAAGCCTTCAGAAGAGCTCCAGGGATATTCACTCCCTTGTTTTCCCCTCAGAGTTATAAGACAAATCCTAACCACGTTAATTGTTCAGTGCAAGAAATAAAATTTGCCAAAGTTCAAAAAAGAAAGGAATTAGAAGTGAGCATGGAAATTAGTTTGCAACATCAGTGAGCATTTCTATGACTTACCACGTGCTTGTAATTATATCCTCTTAGGAAGTGATTTAATTAGGCTATAACAGACTGGATGTGCTACGTGACAAGCCTCCAACAAAACCTAGAGAGGTCCAGGAGAGTGCTGTTCCACTTCATTTCTGAACAAGCTGCCTGTTGGAGAAACACCTCTAAGTTACAGCTTTCCTTTAGTGTTAGGGTAGACAGCAGTCTTGCCTTGTTTTACCTTTACTCCAGGATCTCCAACTCAATAGCCAAAACCTGAATCATGTTTTTCAGCAACGGTGAACAAAGATGCGCTCAATCTACAAGCCCTCCAGATCATGAAAGGAACAAAGGGAAAAATCATGGAACAAACATTCCAAACGAGATGAAAATACAACTTTTATCACAGATGTCAAATAGAAATTGATGTAATGCTGTTATTTTCGGTTTCACAGTTCCTGAGCGAGGGTAATAAAATCTCTTCCACTGAAGGAGCATTTCCAATTTCAGAACTGACAAATTTATATAGAAAGATTAATACTCCTTTTCTTACTTGCTCAGTTCACCACCCATAAAAAGAAGAAAGGAGCCAGTATGAAAAAAAAGAGACATGCATAGGACATTGTCAGAAGACAGTACTTAGAAACATAAGAGCATGCTGAAACATCCGCTGGAACAACTGCAGAAATAGATGATTGTCTTCAAGACTACTTCAGTTAAAACTACAGCCTAGAAAAACTTTCCAGACTAAAATTAATGATACATGCAGACAGCAGCTGTGCATATTGCTTCACTCAGGCCACAAGATGATGAATCACTGGCAACCCCACCTCTTTTCACTCTTCTTGTCTTTCCATACGTATATCAAGGACAGCAGAGCAAACTGCTGTCCTTACAAGTAGCATAGACTTACTAAAACTTGTGGCCTCAGTACTTGCTGGCAGGGCTCACTACACATTGGCACTGCTGCATTTGGTAAAGTCAGGAGATTCACTGCAAGTGAAACAAACAAGCACAGCTTTGGAAAAACAGCTGAAGCTTCCTGCTGATTTTTTTTCCATTCATTTTGAACTCACGTACCTGGCTTTTCTCACTCATGTTTAGCTCTTCCAGACCCAGGGAAGACAAGGAAAAGCAGGTAGGAAAATTAGAAAAATCTACATCTGATATATCACATCAGAAATGGTTACAAGGAATGTCGTTCTTTTCCACCACAAAACCTTCAAAGCCATTAATACCCTGCTGAGCTTCAAGGTATGCAGTAAACCGCTATTAAATTAGAAAATTTACCCAGTCCCAAAACAAGATAGAATACAGCTCAATAGATCTTATAGCTTTATAACATCTATAGATATACTTGGGTAACTTCAAGATTTTACTGAATCACTCCAATGTTCATTTTCTGCAGAAGTTGAAACAAAAGTTTTTCACAGTGTACTCCTTCATTCAATTTTTATAGTAAAATCTGAAGAAAATGCAGGCAAGATATCTCCCTTACCTGGGGAGAAATTTTACTGAAAACTTTATCTCAGAACCACCTCATCATTTTTCAATGTAAAATTTTTCAAGATGTGGTGAAGCACTCAGAGTGAAGTACTCTTGAATGATGAGGCAGACAGAGAGGAAGACTCTGGCCTAACAGCGTTGTTTTATGAAGGGGTCAGGCTTATTACTCTCAGCAGAAACACAGTGTATACATACATGTTGGGGAAGAATGATGTACACGCTGGAGCTGACAAAGATGGAGCTTGGTTCTGATTATCTGTTTAGCTGACCAGAAAACAAAGCGTAGCTATCCTTTCTAACATTCAAATTTAACTTCAGCTTTGAAGAAGCAATCTACAGCAGATGGAAGTCCTGAGGATATAAGCACCAGACAGTTTTACTCATTTTCTTACCCCTTTTCTTCTATTATTCTGTATTCAGGAAACATGAGACTTGTGGATTATGCTCAAAAAACTCTACGCTACTAACAATTGTTATCTCTGCTGGTGTTATCTAACAGTGCCTGGGTGTATCATGAACATACAATGACACAAAAGAAAGGTCTAAAGCATGTACACTTACTGATAAGTAAACGTGAATTCTTCAAGTACCTATACAACTTTTTCTGCAAGGGAATATTTGTGGAACTTTTCCAATGTTCTACAGCACTGTACTTTTAAAACAGCTCCTTCTTTCTTCCCTTTTCCCCCTCTTTTCTTTTTTTTTTGTTAGAGGACAAAAAGCCTCACTCATCTGCTTTTGTGTAACTGAAAACATCTCTCAGATTCATGAGATTTTATGGAAGCCTGTAGATTATTTTGCATAATTTAAATAGCAAATGAATATTTCAGCTCTCATTTTAAACTGTGTGTGATTACAAGACAAATAGGTCACAGTGAGGAAAAAGTGGTTTTCTAGTAGATTTCATCCAGTTAAAAACAAATGACTCAACAGTAATGCAAATTTATGCACTGTGCATACACGACAATCTTCACCAAGAAACTGAGTGAAATTCTGCACTGAATGTTGACTAATGAATAAAGATTGAGAAGGTCAACTCAAGTTCTGCTCTACTCTTAGTAAAAGCGAGTTTTCAGTACTAACATGACACAACAAGATGGAGGACAGGTAGCTATCCTCTGTTCTTTTTAGGTTCTTGTGTTGAGGACCTAAAGGCCCCTGACTGAAGAATGATCCTGGGATGGAATAAAGTATTCTAACAGTTTTAAGAGAATTTGCTTGCCTCTGGCCCTGAGACATCCTGACTCTGATTTATGTCACCCATTTTATCCCAACATAAATATCAAGTTACAAAAAAACTTTTATTTAAATCAGGGTCCTTGATTTTTATTTCTGTTTATATATATCAGTTACTTCCTTAAGAAAAGGTCCACATAATCACTAAAATAAATTTTCAAATCAAAGAAATCTTAATATTAAACATACTAAAAACATGTATTTCTTAAGTGGTTTTGCAAGTTATACACTCTGTATCTTAACTGTTATCCTCGAAGATTATGAATGATTTTTTTATTTGCTGATTGTTTTTTTTATTTTGCTTAAAACTTTTGTCAGTATCTGTTATGAAGAAATGAGAACATAAGTAATACACTTTGAGAGTATTTGAATCATGTCTTG